GCCCGGAAAGAGGGTCTTTGCAGCTGTAAGTAATTACGGACCTTGAGATGCGAGATGAAATCACACTAGGTATAGGGTGGGCCTAAATCCAGTAACTGGTGTCTTATAAAAAGAGGACACCCAGGGAAAAGAAGGTGATATGAAGACACAGGAAAAGCTTAGAGGGATGCACCCACAAACCGAGGAACACCTGGGGCCACCAGAAGCTGGCAGAGGCAGGGAAGGGTTCTCCCTGGAGCCTTCAGAGGGAGCACAACATAGTCAACACCTTGATTTTAGACTTCTGGCCTCCAGAACGGAGGGTGTTAAGCCACATCGCTCATAGCAATTTGTTACGGCAGCCCTCGGACACTCGTACGGGGCAGGAGAACATTTGAACTCAGTATGGACCTTTCGGTTTGGATGCCTGTAGGACTCTTGTTGGGGGTGACCGGTGGGCAGCTGGACACGTGAGAAGAGCAGGCGGGGTTAGAGATGTCAGCTTGAAAATGGTCACAGAAAAGTGAGGGGCAGCTGAATTCACCAAGGGGGAGAGGGTTCAGAGCAAAAAAATAGGGCGGAAGGCAGAACCCAGGCGACCCCTCCATTGAAGGTGTGGAGGAAGGAAAGGAAGGCAGAGAAGGAACTCCATTTCAGGAAGGCAGAATTCTTGGCTCATACTGAACAGTGTAGAGAGTTCGTCAGGGTGTGCACAGGGAAGCAATGCTGATTTGAAAATTCCCTGACACTCAGCCATTTCCATACCCTATTGCTCTGGTCGAGAAGAGCGAGAGGTGGAAAAATGCAGACAGCAAGCATGGGCTACTCTTTTTTTTCTTTTTTTTTTAAAGATTTTATTTATTTATTTGACAGTGAGAGATAGCGAGAGAGAGAGCACAAGCAGGGGGGGCGAGTGGGAGAGGGAGAAACAGGCACCCCGCTGAGCAAGGAGCCTGATGTGGGGCTCGATCCCAGGACCCCGGGATCATGACCTGAGCCCAAGGCAGATGCTTAACCCACTGAGCCAACTGGGTTACACTGTGGATACAAGGAGAAATGGGATTGATTGTAGATGAAGGAAAGAACTTCACTGAGGGAACTTGATACTTGTTTTTTAGGAATATGACACTTTTCATGATATTTTTTTAGGCTGCAGGAAGGAAGCCAGGAGAAAATGCAAATAATCAATGAAACAAGTTTCCAGAGAAGAGACTTACAAATATTTTTTGTTGTGCATCTGCTCGGTGCCAGGCACTGTGCTAGGGTTTACCCGGATGATCTCATGGATCTTCTCAACACTCCTATAGAGTAGAGAAAGGTGGTCCCCATTCTGCTGTGGGGAAACGGAGGCTGGGAAAGCCAAAATAATTTGCTCAAGTCCATACCTCTCAGATTTGAGCCCTGGTCTCTGCCCCCTGTGTCTCAGTTCTTGTTACATTATTTTCCACGGGAATGCGGAAAGCAGCATCTTTCTCTGATTCACAAAGAATAAGAAGCAGCATAAAGAAATGAGCAGATCTGCAGTGGAGGAGAGGGACGTTCTGGGTGTTTCTATCACATGGTCTTATTAAACTATGAGTCAAAATTATCCACTGCAGGGGAGGAAGAGGGAAGCCCAGGGGGTCTAGAGAAGGGAAGGGATTTAGGATAACCTCAGAAGCCAGCCAGGAAGAAGGAAAAACCTCGCTTAACTGCTAAGGCTCTACTAGGATTAGTGGGTTGGGTTTTTAGGGCAGCTCACCTGTGTGGGGTGAGCAGAACCTGATCTCAAGATGGACTTCTAGCCAGAAAGATTTTAGTGACAGCTCTGAAAATGCTCCAGGCCAGAGGTACTCCTGATTTTAACTTGAGACACCACACCTCCAGGGCTCCGAAAACAAGCCATCGGATATCCCAAGGTGATGATCAGTCCCAAACCCCTGCTACAGGAGAAGACCCTGACCAGCCTAGAGGTGACCTTTCCCATAGGGGTTTCCCCCCCTCCCCCACTGCCTGGCCAAACCAGGTGCACTCCCAGCCTCTGGCAGGGTTACCATTCTGATATGAAAATAACCTAAGTCCTTGACTCAGGAAATAACAGCATCTGCTAATTTGCATAAGAGTTTTGCATTTCATATTTGGGTTTAATACCCAAATGCTAAAATTCATTTATTTGACCTTAGTTAAGTGGTTTAGGGGTTCAACCGATAAAAACTCCTCGCTGAACGTTCCACTCTGACACACCCAGACCCAGCTCCCCGCCCAGGACGACTCTGTTCTCCTGCCATCTGGCACTCTGCACGCACTGCATTGATCCTCCTATGAATTATGGGTTAAAAAGGACCCATCAGCTTGCCGGAAGGCTTGATATTTTTAAAAGGGTCTCGGCAGGTGCATCTCCCCAAGTTCCCATGTCAAGAGCTCTGCCATGGGGCTCTGAGCTGCTCCAATTCCTCCAGGGTCTCGATTCATGATGAGCAGCCCCTCCTTGGAACTCCCCGGGACAGCATGCATGAGGGCAGCAGCTATGGAGTGAGAGTTTTGAGAGGAGACAGCAAAGAAGGTGTTAATAAATAATCGCAGAGCTTCATTCTCCGTAAAGACAATTACTGGGATTGATTGTTTCTGTGTTTCCTTAGTCACGGTTCAGCTTGCTTGTTTCACTTGGATTAAGACAGATGAATGCCGAATGCACACAGCCATGTGATGTCGGAATTATCAATGGCACGTCCAAGGCCCCTGCCTTCTTGTACACATGCTGCTAGGGTTCTCAGCTGTGCTGAAAGGGGATCCTGGAATGGGAGGGATGAAGCACATGGGGTGAGGTATTGTGAACTCCTGAATTTTAGGTAGTGCACCCTGTTTTCTTCCCATGTGTGGGGTATAGTGAGGTGGTTTTCCAATGAAAGCCTGCATCTACATCCCCTGGAAGGCTTGTTAAACACAGATGCCTGGGAGGGCGCCTGGGTGGCCCAGTCAGTTAAGCATCAACTCTTGATTTCGGCTCAGGTCATGATCTCAGGGTCCTGGAATGGAGCCCCACGTTGGGCTCCGTGCTCAGCAGAGAGTCTGCTTGAGGATTCTCTCTCTCTGCCTCTCCTCCCTCATTCTCTCTCTCTCTCTCTAATAGATAAATAAATCTTTAAAACACACACACACACACAGATGCCTGAGCCCCTTCCCTAGAGCTTCTGATTCAGTGCGTACAGGGTTGGGTCCAAGAATTTGCATTTCTAACCTGTTCTAGGATGCTACTGCTGCTGCAGGTTTGGAGACCCCACTTTGAGAACCAGTGGGATAGTGATGAAGAGCGTGGACCCTGGGACCAGGCCACCGGCCTTGTAATCCGGATACTTACTGTTTACGAGCTGTGTGATCATGGGCCATTTACTCAACCTCTCTGTGTCTCCGTTTCCTCATCTTTATTTATTTATTTTTTCTTTGTGGAACATCTGTAAAACTTTATTTAGAGAATTTCAACAGTGAAGTACCCCAAATAAGAGTAGTTTGCATGTTTCAGCTTGTCCTTGTTTAAATCTGGAGTAGTCCTTCACCTGCTTCTGGCATTTTAATGGGTTCTAAAAAGGGTAGACTTGGCCCCTTGACATCAGGGTCATCTTCAGTTATACCTCCCGCCTTTGCCTGAGGCAGCTCCTGGAGATCAGCTTCCAGGTCCTGTCCTTGAGCCACAGGTTCTCCTTCAACTTCCTTCCCTTGATCAGGTAGAATATCTTGACTCCCACGTGGTGCCTCCTTTTGTTTCGGTTGCTCGTCACTGGGTTGCTGCTCCCCCACGTGCTGGTTAGACGCTGGATCATCTTTTCTTTGTTTGGATGTGGATGTGGATCTGACTCGGCCACTCCTAGTTCACCCAGTTGAATTCAGCTAGCGAGAAAGCTCACGGCAGAGAGAACACGCCGCCTCCATGCATCTCCCGTTTCCTCATCTTTAAAGCAGGGATGATAACGATAGTACCTACTTCGTGGTATGTTTACGAGGAATAAATGAATGAGAACTTGAACGCGCTCAGACCAGTGCCTGGTATATAGAGTACGTGCTCCATGTGCGTTGGATAAATAAATAAAGGAGCCAGACTCAGGATTGTGAGCGTATCAGCTAGTTTCTCTGACACCTGCAGCTCCCAGTGGAGTTCCTGGGTCATTTTACCCATTAGTCTTTTGTCCCATCTCTTGTGGCCGGGAAAGTTAATGCCCAGCTCAGTGCCAGCAGGAGGGAGGTGACATCAACATCCATCAAAATCCTCTTCTCAAACTACATTCACCCTTGAAATCTACTTAATACACAGACTGTGACTCACTGAGACTGGGACAGTAGGGCAGTGTGCTTTTGGGGTTTCTCTCCCCCATGCTGCCAAAAAGAGGGGCTGCCCTTTATATTGAGCTCGGCCGCAACCCCGTGCTGATTGCTCTCATTTGTTCAACGCTTCCCCTGTGCCCAGCACTTACGTGTTTTACACATGATTTCATTTAACCCTCAAAACGTCACCCTGTCATGCTGCCGGGGTTCAGCAAAGTTAAATGACTTGACCCAAGTCACACCGTCAAGTGATAAACTCAAAACCAAAACCCAGGTGTGTCTGACGTCAATCATTTGTTATCTTAAAAGTTCTCCTACTGTATACCACCTCCCTAGCTTTCTATGAATATTTATATCAGGGTTAAGGCTGGGTCCCCAAGTATCCAGCAGTGACAGTTTCTCCTGCAAAGGTAAGCGCACCCCAGAACTGGAACTGCCTGTTTCAGGGTTTGCTTTTCCAAAGCCTGTCGTAGGACTCGCAGAACATACTCCTTTTAGAAATGGACAACATGCCTTCCATTGCTTGGTCATTCACTCTGGCCTGACTTCTGGTTGCAAGTGCGTTCATGTTGCCAAAGGTGGCTTTCTGTCTGAATTTGGATATTGACCTAGTACCGGGAGGAGTGCTCTCAGCCTGATGGTCATGTATACCATCCAGAGGCTATACAGCGAATGTGAAGAGAGGAAAAATGGTATGCTAATGAAACTTTACTTTTTTCCCATAGTGTTCCTTTCTGCCGAAATTCTCCATTCATATAGAAACCAAGTATGAGGACAACAAAGGAAGCAACGACCGCGTGAGTAGGGCGCCCCCCCCTCCCCCCATTCCGGACTGTGCCCTCACCCCCTGGGCTCTGAGAGTCACGACTGTGCCTGGGACCTTGGAGAAGCTCTAGCATTTGCTTTCTGGGACCATTTCCCTGGGATTTCTCCCTGGAATTTCTTTGTTGTCTAGCCTTTCTTCCCATCTTTATGTCCTTTCCATGGACTTCTGTGCAGAAATCTCGGTGACCTAGAATGATTGTCATTGGCGTTTGAGGGGGATGGGGGGGACCTTGAGTTCCAGGATTTACTTTCAGATCACTGGATTGAGCGTACATCTTCTCAGTGACTATTAACATTTACTTAGAAAAATGAGTACAGGGATGCCTGGGTGGCTCAATCGGTTGAGCGTCTGCGTTTGGCTCAAGTCGTGATCCCAGGGTCCTGGGATTGAGCTCCATGTTGGGCTCCCTGCTCGGTGGGGAGTCTGCTTCTCCTTCTGTCCCTCCCCCTCCCCGTGCTTTCTTTCTCTCTCAAATAAATAAAATCTTAAAAAAAAAAAAAATGAATACTACCAAATATATATGTGTGCATACTGTATAGATTTTTTAGACTATGATTATGTTCACATATATACACTAATACACATATATCCCATGTTAAAATCAGTGTACCCCTCCTGCAAATTACTAACCTTATGGGACAAGCCGAGTCTTTGTAGATCAGCCCCATACTTTATTAGTATTGCTGAGAATCCATCTTCTGACCTGGCTTTTCCCCCAGCCTCTTTCTGTTGGGGCAGTGTCATTTTGAGTTGCCTTTCACTTTGGGAGTGGATGTTTGGCCCTGTCAAGAGCCTCACCCTAAGATTGGACTCTGGGTTCCATTGGGACCCACTGAAGGAAGAGCCTGGATCTAGAAGCTGCAGAGCTTCACCTATTAATTTCTACTTCATTTACATGTTTTGCTTTTGTGGAGAAAGATGAATATTAAGATTGTGTCAAAATGGTCAAGAGAGCGTTTCCTGACAAGGTGACCCCTTCGGCTCAGGTCTTGATCCCAGGGTCCTGGGATCCAGTCCCGCATCGGGCTCCTTGCTTGGTGGGGAGCCTGCTTCTCCCTCTGCCTGCCACGCCCCCTGCTTGTGCTCTCTCTCTGATAAATAAATAAATAAAATCTTTAAAAAAAAAAAAAAAAAGGAAGTTCCTGTCTATGGCAGGAACAGATTCTTCTGGAAGCCACAGGTATATTTGTGGGGGAACACAGGTTGTCCTTTTCAAAGTGGAGTCTGCCTGGACAGAGCTAGAGGGGTTCCCAAGGGGCATCACTCAAGAGCTCTGTTTCACAGCAGCTTGGTGTGGGAGGACACTCATTCCTTCATGCAGTATTCAGCAAGGGCATATCAAGCACCTTCTCTTTTGAGTATGAGTATGTATGAGTTGCATGCAGGTATGAAAAATGCAGACTCCTTTCTCAAACTTCAGGTACTCATAGCTTAGCTGGAGGAAGAACCAACATAATAAAAACATAAGCATGATAATGGGCTTCCCTCCCTTCAGCGCAGAGTTGACACTGCTAAGCCCTCAGAGTTGGAAAGACCTTAAAAAGCGGCGTTCAGTCATGACCTCTCCACGATAGTCCCCCCCTTCTGTGTGGGGGACACATTCCAGGACCCCCACTGGATGCCTGAAACCACAGATAATACCAAACCGCATATACACCTGTTTCTTCTTATATATCCATACCTATTATAAAGTTTAACTTATAAATTAGGCACAAGTAAGGGATTAAGAGCAACAATGATCAAATAGAACAATTAGAACAATATTTTGTAGTAAAAATTATATGAATAGGATCTCTCTCACTCTCTCAAAATATCTTACTGTACTTTAGTCGCCCTTCTTGTGATGATGTAAGATGATAACATGCCTACGTGATGAGATGAAGTGTGGTGAATGGTGTAGGCATAGTGTCCTACCATTAGGCTGCTACTGACCCTTTGATGACAGGTCAGAAGGAGGTTCATCTACTTCCAGGCCACAGTTGACCACACGTAACTGAATCCATGGAAAGCGAAATGCGGATAAGGGGATATTACTATATTTGCAGGGACTGACGTGGCTCTTACCTGGTCACTTCATCTTCTTGAACTAAGTTAAGAAACCTGGAGGTTATCAGGGGTCGGCAGACTACTTTTTTTGTAAATCAAGTTTTCCTGGAACACAGTCACACTCATTTGGGTATTATCAAGGCTGCTTTCCTGCTACAACAGCAGAGTTGTATACTTGCAACAGAGCTCATATGGCCCATAAAGCCTAAACTATTTACTACCTGAAAAAAGTTTGCTAACCCCTGGTTGGAGAGACTCAAATCAGAACAGCACCCACCAGATCTCAGAATTTGACCCAATCAATAGATGTCACCAGCCGTCCCAGCCGAATGCCTTCTCCAGAATTCCTGAACTTTTCAGGGGAGAGAAGAATCCAACTGGCTGGGGTACTCTCAGGATCCCCAATGGTTAGCATCCCTTAGTGGTTGGTAACCTCAAGGGAAAAGTTTAGGACCATATCCTTGTCAGCAGCCTGAAATAAGACGTCCTTTGGTGGCCAAGTACACCAAAACCTCAACGTCTAAAATAATGTTACATTGTCTTTAAACTTGAACCTTTGTAAAATAATGACTTCTCTGATTGGGAAACTAATACATGGTTATTAAAACTTGGGAAATGCGGGGCGCCTGGGTGGCTCAGTC